TATCAAGAGGACAGATTCCCTGGATAGTGCAAAGAACTGCTTCTTTAAAACTGCAGCAGAAGAGGGTCCTAAGTATATAGTAGTGGAAAAAGGGAGGGCATCTTTGATCAGAGCTTCAGTTTAGATGCTTTAAAACAGTTCACCCACTTACTCATTTTCACTTGCAAAGCCCCACAACTTTTAGCAGCTGCTCCAACTCCGTTGTCAGCAGTACAGCAGTACACTCCGTCATCGCTGTCCTCCACACTCAGGATGGTCAGGAGTTGCCCATCTTCTTGTATGCTGTATCTTGTATCAAACAGCCTGCAAGGTACAGTGAAATACTGGTGAAACAACAAAACAAACAGCATACATTCCAACTGGTTATAAAACACCAAACCCACTCAAAGGTTTCGTTTTGTTTTTTTTTTTACCTGAACATAAAGGTGATGTTAACTTACAAGTTTAATATTTTCTGGCTCTTCCTAAAATGGTAGCATTCCTACAGTTTGGGAACATGTCTAAACAATCATCCATCTCACCAACCTACCTGAACTATGATAATTATATATCAATCAATATATCAATCATTATCATATCTAGCTGAGTATCGTGGACTACCATTTGGCAAAGGGCAATTCAGGAACAGACTATAGCAACTACTTGAATCATAAATAATCTTGACCCACCTGGGTCATATTCTGGATGTAGTTAACAGGCATCTGCAGTTCAGTGACAGCTTGCCTATATAAGAAGCAGAGCTGGTTGGAAAATGTTCGGGGAAACATATCCAGACAAAGATAACTTTTTCAAGAAAATAACTTTTGTTTTCATCAAATATTCAATTTTCAGCAACCATTTTTTTCAGTGCCTGGAATTCAATACCGCCCCCTCCCCTGCTTCCTTTTCTTATTTTTTAAACAAGAACCTGAAGCAAAAATGTTCACAGGGAAAAAAAGTATTTGCCAATTTAATCTAATAAGCACTAAATAATTTGACTTTAGATATAATTCAGGTAACAGTAAGATCTGGATCACAAGCCTTTGAAGAATAAAATAAAAGTCCTGAGGTCAGCTCAGAGCTGTGATGATTTTGGATTCTGTTGAAGGAAAAAAGTAGCCTAGATGAATAAAGACTATGCAGCTCTGTAAAATTCCTGGTGTAGTGGTGGGGGAGAGAGACGGTCTGTGGTTTTCATTGCAAAATGGGAAGAAATAATAAATTATGCTGTATTTTCATGGTGCAAAATTTATCTCGCTTACAATAAACCTCATAAATCCATCAGTTTATGAGTTTAGCATGTCTTTGGGACTTTTTGAAGCACATTCATGAAATGTGTCTTTTGCTTCTGACAAGAGGGCTTCTGCTCTCTGCTTCTTCCAAGGGGTGTCAAACATAAAAAGTTTAAATCCTCCCTTTTTTCTTTTCATTGTTAAACTAAATATTTTGTACCAGTCACCAAGTCTAAATTTTCCAGTAAAGTTTTCATAGGATGAGTTAAGAAGTAACAGACATTTAAGCTAGCCCCTATGTTTACCGGGCCATATCTGCCTGTGCCACCAAAACCTTTACAATAGCTCAGTGGTTATAGCACTGGCCCAGCCATATAGAGGAGACAGTATAAATTCTCACCTTTGCCTAAAAGGATTTACCACATCCTGGTATAACCCATAAGAGTTACTTATAGTTGCTTATAGTAAGCCCATAAGGGTGGTAGTAGTTAGGTCACCCTCCTAGGGTGTGGGAGCTGTGCATTCCTCTTTAGTGAAAACTAATTTTACATCCCCTGTGAACAGTTGTAAGCAACTCCCCAGAGTTAAATGTGGTGGAATATTCCTATTATCCAGGATTTTAACTTGTCTTTGGTTTGCTTTCCTTCTTTTTTTTGTGTCTTTGTGACAAAGTATTTAGCAAAATTCACAGATTTGTTGGAATTGGACAGGCTACGCTGTGAACACTTCTGCTGTGGCCTCAAATTTGCAACTTCTAGGTGGTCAACTGTACGCCTTAGCACCCATGCAATCCCAGCCCCCTGTGGTTTGCTGTTGGATGTGATATCCCAAATGATGACATAAAATTCATACTGCAAAGCCCAGGACAAACATTTGTGGCTTTACAGGAAGCACTGGCTTCCTCAAATTAATTATCTGTTGGCCAATGCAAACCAGAAACACAAAGAAGAGTTGCATGCATTGTACCACCAACACTGCAGTGCAGGCCTGATGAATTCAAATGTTTATGTATTGCTTTGATTTTCAGTTAGCTAGCTACGCAGTGCCCCTGAACCTTGGCAAAAAAACCTTTTTAATAAATAACATAAGTATTATTTATTGCTTGTAATAATTAGCCTCTTTGAAGTTTTTAATTTTCTGGGGTTTTTTTTAATATGTTGATTTGAATCTTTTCCATTTCACAAATACTTCGCACAGAGTTTGGAAAGGAGTTGAAATAGTTTCAGCTTATATAGCTCCTTGTCTTCATGCAAAAGCTTTGTTTCCACTAGCATTGGACATTGATGTCCATAAAGCTTTACGAAAAGCTATTTTAACTGCTGCTGTTCCCTATGATTTGTGCTCCTGCAGAAACCCCAGAGAAAAAACAAAGCACTTCAGATGTTTGCCCCATCCCAAAATAGTTTGTTGTAGGGTTTTTTTGTTTTGTTTTGGGGGGGGGGGGGGGTTTGCAACTGTATCTAAAACAAGAGGTGCTCTGCCTACATTGATAACATTTCATATGAGACCGTATGAAGGGTCTTTGGGAAAAGCCTTCTGGATTGAGAGTGAAGGAAACTGTGCACCAAATTTACTAGGACCTAAAAAGGGTCTGTGTTTCCATATGCTTTCAAGAAGGTATATGGGGCTTTAAGGACTGCATAGAAGGCAGGTCTTGTCAATTCAATTCTGTCATCTATCCCTCAACCTTCCTTTCTTTTCAGACTTAGTTTTATTAATAGAGAAAGAGTTTTGAGGTCATTATCCTAGAGACAGCAGCGGTAGGGACTTAGCTTTGGCCTTGCAGCCTGCTTGGCACAGAGAATTGGGATTGGGCTTTAGTGCAGTTCAGCTGCTGTCAGTGAAGCCTGATTTCTGACACATTTTGTGTGCATGCACACGTCTGTGGATACCAACTGGTAAGTCGTTTCTGTGTGGTCTAGAATGGTTTCACTAGCAACAAAATCAGTCTGCTCCAATGCCCCCTGAAGTCCTTTGAGTGTTCCCCATCAGCTCACAAAAAAGGAACCATCCTTAAGAATGGTTTAATTTAATGAGCAGAGAGTGATAATTAGCCATGGTAGTCTGAAGTCAGGAAGAAGGCAGGGTAGATTTACACCTAACTAAATCAGAGCTGTACTGTATAAGCATAAGCTTTTGTCAGCCCAAGATTACCCTGCCTTTTAATTTAATGTGCAAATTCTGCAATAAAGTAGCTCTCATTGCTACTATGCAAAGTTTATTATAATTTTCCAAAACAGAGAGACCTAAACAAGGGTCCAGAATGTGAAAGAGAAAATGTAAAAGAATTTGCCAGATCCAAGATGCGTAGAAGTCAAGTGACTGTGTTTTACCTTTGTAAGAGACTATCTTAAAAATGTAGGTATTGCAACAATACTACAATTCCCTACCTTCCTGAAATGAAATTCCTAAAGCATATGAGTGCATAGTTTGTTTGGGGGGTTTTTTAGATGATGTGGTGGTGGGTAATGAATGAGATTTGACAGTGTATAACACGATAAAAGCCATGTTTCAAATAATATTTTGTTTTGAAAAACCCCTTCTGTGAAAGGATTTCAAAATGCTTTTTAAACACAAAGTCTCAAAACACCAATTTACTTAGAGAAGTGTCAGCTCTCTCTTCTAAATGGGTAAAATGAATCAGCAACAGCACTTGTAGGCTTTTCTATCCCACATTAGAGGTCAGTCTCAAGGGTGATGGGACTGAACATATTTTTCCCACATGAATCCAGTGACATGCTCCAGAGCCAGAAGTTTACCTATGCAGCTGCTTTACACTCATCTCCACTTCCTGCTCTATGAAGAGCAGTCACGGCACATTAAATTTAGTACTTTTATAATCAAGTACTGAATTAATGTTCAGTAACTGGAGTTACTGTGCAGTAGTGCTGGCGCATGTCTTTTTAGTGACGCTACTCTTTATCAGAAGAGGAAGTGTGTTAGTTCAACCCGGCTCACCTAACATCTGTATAGATCGTGCGCTTTCGTGGGGTTTTTTAGTGCTTTTATTTAATAGCTAATTGAATCAGCTTTAAATAAAAGCACCAAAAGGCCCCGCTGAAGCTCCCAGTCTATATAGATGCTGGGGAGCTGCTTTGAACTAACACACTTCCTCTTCCAGCAAAGTGCTGTTTTGTTTTCTTTTGTTTTTTCACATCTGTCAGTGCCCCAGGTTTTGATTTGACTCTTCATTCATCTGACATCCCTGAACTGCTGCCTTATGTCTCCAAGCTAGCTAAGGAAGCCCCCAAGATGCACTACACCTTCTCTGATGTACTATGGTCACCTATTCCATGTTGAACCCTGCTGGTTCAGCCAGAGGGAGACCCAGGTGCATCATACCAGATGTAGTTTTGCCAACAAGCCTGGTCAACAGAGTAGAACTGGGATATGAAGCACCACAGCAATTCAGGCATACACAGACAAATTTTGAACTGACATGAAACAGATCGTTTCAGTTTGGATCAAAAAAACTGCAAAGGAAAATTTTTCTTTAGATTTTCCTGATAGAAAATTGAAAAAGTCTAGCAAAATCTCTTTGTATATATATAAATGCTGTATTTTCCACTGTGGGGAAAATAAAAGTTTTTGATGGAAAACTGCCAACCAGTCCCAGCACATAGCTTATGGACAAAGGTGTGCTTATATTATAAACCTTCCTCAGGTTTGCAATCTTACCTGATGGGAATGTTATTACGTGTCCAGGTAATCTCTGGCTCAGGATAGGATTCTACCACACACATGAATTTGGCAACTTCTTCTACTAATGCATCTACTGTTTCCAGAGGAGTGGTAATAAGGGGAGCTGGAATTTAAAGAAAAAGAAAACATGCTCTTTCAGTACTGGGTCTCTTGTGAGAAAAAACTGCTAATGGTATCAAATTGCCAAGGACATTTACAAGCATAAAGAAAAGTCACATTCCCTGCAGGGTCACCACCGGATAACTCCCTTGAAAATTCAGTAACGGACATTGTACCCTCTCCATTAGCTCAATTTAACTGAGGTCCCCATAAGCATTTGTTTTTTGCCGTGTCCCAATTCTTATATCATGTTTTTCCTTATACTTTCCATATATAGCATGGAATTACTTCAATCCTTAAGTGATATGTAGAGTCACAGTTTGGACCTTACCTCCCTTTCCATGACAATTCAGCTATATTGAGAGGACACAGCAAAGGCTCTACCCGCGTGCACATAATGTGCTCTCTTTCATGGACTGGTAATGTGAGTAGTCTGTACATGGAAGCAAGGAAACTCCTTTTTCTCTCTGTCTTTGTAAATTACCTCACTACTGATGAATATCATGTGAGATCCAGTTATCCCTGTTGTTAGTTCGACCTGATGAACTGCAAAGGTATTTTGATATTTTTTAAATAAAAAAGTAATGCTATTATTTATATGAGGATCATTTCTAGATGTTCCTCATGTATGGCAATAGCACAGAAACACAATCATTTGTTTCTTCTTTCTTTCATCAAGTAGCACTTGGTATCATGCAAATAATAAATATATATTTTTTTTTGTCACAGACCCACCACACACGAAATTCTGCTTTATCTTTGGAAAGGTATTTTCCACCCCTCTTGGTACAGGCTGATAAAGGATCAAAAGGCACTACTCATGTATGTCTGTTAGAGACATATATCCAGTGCTCATTGAACTGGATTTATTTGACAGCTGTGTATGTAGAAACTACGCTTATGCCTTCTCTGTGAAATGTGACAGTGCAGAAGGGGCAAGAGAAATGGCACCAATCTTTACACAATTGACAAAAATTACCCTGCCCATCTGTACATTACCAAACAGACATGATCTGTTAACTGCAGAGATTCTTGGTATACTTTATGTCTCTTCACAGAAAAAACTTCATGCACTATATCTTCTGTCCTTTACCTAAGCAATCAACTTTAATTTTTCAGAGCTTTAAATATACCATTACAACTTTAAATACACCATTTTCATCTCACTAAATATCATAAGATAATGCAAAGCACTCTGGTACAGATTCATCAGATTATTTATATGGTATGACATGAACTTTGGGCTTGATTCTTCTATCACCCGTGTGGGTATAAAATTATGACTCCATTGGAGTTATGGAGTTGAACTGGAATATATCTGTGGAACTGAGAAACAAATATGTTCCTTCATACTAATGACACCTTTCAAGTTCACATATTATTGTACATCATTGAAAATATTGAGATTTTGTACATTTGAAAATTCCACTATGGTAAATCTATGCCAATAAATTTTCTCTCCAATTTGACAGCTAGCTGCTAATAGACATCAGTACCTGTATTATTAATGTGAAAAGAGGGTCATATTTATAGAGCTGAAAGATCCCTAAGATCCTAAGGGTTATGTGCTAAAGTTGGCTAAAATATTGGGTCTGTATCTGGGTATTGCCTGGTAGCACTGCTTTAAAAGATCTAGGGCCTTAATTAATTACACGGTCAGAAATGTCTCCTTCAATGTTAGTAAATATTGCAACCAGGGTGAAGTGCATGCCCCACTTAAGTCCATGAGTGTTTTGCTTCTGGCTTCAGAGAAGTCAAGATTTCACCCCAGGGTCCTATGAAAACATGTTATGAGAATGTGTATTATGTAGTGAAATGTTGCTCTGTCCATTTTAGAAATGACTGTTATTTTCTGAATCAAATGTTATGGCTAGGGTTTAGGGTTGTTGGTTGTAGACATGTTGGTCTAAGGACATAAGCAGACAAGGTTCTTTGGGTAAATGTGATATCTTTTATAAGACCAACTAAATAGTTGGAAAAATTATTGTTTGCAAGCTTTCAGGTACAAACGCCCTTCCTTAGGCACTGGGACAGTTTGTTGTTGCTTTGTGTGCTCTCCTGGCGGGAATGGAAGTCAGTATGCAAAATGCAGGTCTGTGAAAATGTAAATGCGTAGCATTTTCCCCCTTCTCCCCCACAGCTACCTGTCTCACACCTAATGTCTCACAGGGCCTCTGAACCTCACTGCTACACATTTGCATTTTCACAGACCTGCATTTTGCATACTGGCTTCCATTCTAGCCAAGAGAGAACAGGATCGAGCCCTATCAAAGCTATGTTATATAGGAAGTACCATCCAAATTACTAATACAATTGTAAAAAGCAAAAGAAAACTTGCTAAGCCTCACCATTTTTAAGGGCCCTTTGTTCCTTTCTAAACCTTTAAAACACTAATATTAATACCTGGGTATATCCCATACTTACTGTCCTACCTTTTTTTTCTTTTCCTTTATTAAAATGCAGTGTTGGAGAAAAAGAGAAGATAAAGAAAGTATTATTTTTCTAGGATGACAGGAGAGAAGGGCCTCTTTCCGGGAAGTCATTGATGTTTTGTGAGATCGAGTGACATGGGGGGCAAGCCACCATTTTGTTGCTGCTCAGAAAGAGAACCCAAAAATGGCGGTGACGGTGCTTATTTTAATGACCAATGTCTCAAAGCTAAAATATTGAGGAAAATTGAGAGAAAAAACCCCTCAAAATGCAGCTCATGCCACATTTCTAATTAGGCTGAGAAAAAAAAGTCATGGTGCATTAACACTGGACTAAAAAAAGAGCCCAAGTCTTTTGTATGTAGTGGCACACCGCATAGGAACATATCCATGACGTTTTTAAGTAACGCTGTGACTTTAAATATAATCACAAGACTTAGTTCTCCATCCCTAAGGCCACCGAGGTGCCATTTTCCTGAATGTCCATTGTAAATTCAGGAGGCATAAAAGGTGCTAAGACCACTCCTAAAAACTCTACTGTTTATTACTTCCTATGAGAAGACCATGAGTCTCGTTCTAACATCAGTCCATCAGCAAGTGGAAGATTGTTGTTATTTTTTTATTAAATTTTCTTTTTTTAAAGTGAAGAAGTGAAATGGAAAAATAAAGCTTTACCTCAGTGTTATTGATTTTTGCAAATGGTACTCTTTCTTTAGTTAGGTATTTCCTTGGGGCCTGTTCTTGGCAATGACAGTCCAGTTTTTCTGCAGAATCTAAAACAGCTACTGCCTTGTGGTCTTTCTAGCATACTTCGCTGTATTCATAAGTTTAATATGACAATTCACCTGAACATATAGCATCACACTTCCTTAAAAAGAAAATCCACTGAAGATGTTTCATTAAAATATACTTCTTTTCATTGCATGTTGCTATCAGAGATATCATATCTATTCCTATTTGTTTTCTCATTTGTAAAGTCTTATTTTGGTCTTCCAAAGGCTTTGCAGGCTTTGCAGGCGGACAGTCTCCACTATTTGAGTTGGTGTTGCTGCTTGAACAGAAACACCTTTTGTCTAAATTCAGTATTTTTGTGAAGTAAGGAACTTGCAGTTCTTCATATCAATCTGGGTACCAGTTACAAAAAATCAGCTAGACAAGAGCAGAGCTACTGGTAAAGTAGATAATGATCAGCTTCATGGGCCAAAATCAGTTACTTGTTCTTCCTAAGACACTGAAAGCTATTGCCGGTACATTTTCATCCTGTCCTAATAGGATGAAATAAAACCCTTCACCCAACAGGCAGTAAGTGCTTGATGTGGTAAATCTTTAATTCCCACTGGAGGAAACTTGCATTTTTTAACAGATTTTTATAACCTCAGCCTCATATTGTCTTGAACTTGTGTGACTTCCATATGGAAAGGTAAAGGTACCTTTCATATAAACTATATAAATAACACGCATATTGTATATAGGTTTATTATCATGCAACATGCATATATGTATATGTCAGTGTATTTTAATTATATAGGTATTATATATATGCACATATAGTAAATTTATATGCATTAATATGTGCACACAGTGGCACTGAGTATTTTTTTTGTTTTCTGTGAGAATAAAACAACTGCCAGCATTAGATATAAATGCAGGATTATTTCATTGATCTCCTCTAAAGAACATAAAGAAATTCCATGACAGGTGAAAATGAAAACAGCGTATTTATACAGTTTCCGGAAATAAAACAACAGTCCCTATACAACACTTAAAAGACTTCAGCACCTTTATAAAAATGCCATAAGTGGCAAAAGCAATGAAAAGATGAAGGCTGTTTAAACAAACCTTTCGGAAGTTTTTCGGCTAAACTGAAGGCCGCCAGAGTGAAGATATGTACAAGTGGAATGTTTATTAAGTCTTTCATAGTTAATCCAGGAAAATGCCGGTTCCTTTAGGCAAAATGCACCAGGTTCCCTGCCTGTTTCATTTTAAATCATGGTTTGTTACGAAGTTCCTCAGCTACTGACTGTCCCTGCTGCAGACTCTATAGGATCTAAGTATAATCAGGAATTTTCAGACTTGGCTACTGTGATGGACATGACCAGCTGGTGTACATCCACTTAGGTCAGTATGAAAACGTGGGGCTCGTGAAACAAGAGAAAGCAAATCCCTTTAGAATTCCTTTTAGGCAAACAGCATGCAACAAAACACAATGACTGAATGCCTTTCCTAAACAATAACCCAACCCAGAACAGCTCAGATCGAAAGGGCTTTACTCCAGCTCAAGGTAAATACACTCCTAGCACAAATATCTGTCACTGACACTATGGATTTTCTTTCAGGTTTGTACTTCTCCCCGTTTTTTTCTCTTTCTCTCTCTCTCCTCCCTACCCTGCTCTCCCCAGCCCCTTTCATCATAACCTTAGTGATTAGCTGGAATATACCACCTGTTCCCCTGCTGATAGCCTATCTTTTCTTTCCAGATATATTTGCTAGAGTAGGAGATGTTGGTATCAGTGAGCTGACAGCCAGTCTTGTTTACCAAGGAGATTGTCAGTTTTCAAGATTTGTTGCAGCAAACTGAAAAAGAAGAGTCATGTCCCGGAAATAAACCCTTGAGCCCACACAAGCTCTGGGAAAGCGAGAGCAATTGCCACACAGGGGAGTTTCTCAAGTTGTGCTCTGGCGAACGAAGTGTGGTTTGTTTTTAATCTCAGGAACAGCATAGGAAATTCAGGCAACAGTGGAGATATTCATGCAGTGAAATAGTTATGTTAAATTTGGGCATTGCTATCTCAGGAACTTCTCATTTTTTGATAAGTCTCTTTAAAGTGAGCTATATAACATTGCAGCACATGGCCAAGGGGGCTTCAGAGGAACATCTAGTTGGAAGAGGCTCCTGGCTCAAGTCCAGTCCCTTCCTATTTCAGGAAAGTGCAACATCCCCTTCACAATTTTGAACCCAGCATAGACATTTTTTCCCCACAGTTTTCATTATTTACTAATTTATAGGGATCCCAAGATAACCCCTGAAAAAATGAAGCATCCAAGATGGGTAGCCACTTCTCATTCGAGATGCCTAGATAATTATATGACTTTTAAATGCCAAATAACCGGAATCCTTCCCCCTTCCCTTGCTTTGCATCCCCGCTGTAGACCAGGGGTCAGTTGTAGTGAAACTACTTATATGGCTAATCAAAAAAAGGAGATAAAGCCTAGTGGCACCTTTAGCTCTGAAACACCTTAGAGAACTAAAGGATTTTAAAGGGGCTACATATAGGAGGGCATTGAATGGGAGAAAGGGAAAGATCTCTGAGGATTAAGTGCAGAGCACAGTTAGTGGGGTAAATGTGAGCAGGAAAAAACAGAATACACCATGGGAAAAACTGGGGAGG